TATATATATATATATATATATTAGTATATTAAATTGTATGTCGTAACGCACCAATTATTTAAAATTTCAGTTATGTTGACTCATTGTTAATTAGGTTACCAAATACAAATATTTGGTAATATAGATTAGTAACTTAACTTTTATTTCTCATGAAATTAGTATATTCGTTATATATATATTACAAAAGAAAGTTTTCAAATAAAATATAACTATGGAGATCAGAGTCATTATTTGATGCCAGTTAGAGTCTAGTAAGGCATCAGTTTTGCTTTAGATGTTATTGTGCTATAGTGAAAACAAAACAAACATTAACAATTATCAACACAAAATGCACATTATACAACAATTGTTTAAACTTGACAGGTAAAAGACCACAGGTTTAGACACAACCTTTCTTGGTTTAAAACAGTTGACCACAAAGAAAGTAGTTAGCCAGCGCCCTTGTTTGCTATTAGAATAGTGAGATTGACTGTTATAATTATAACGCATCCACTCATCAGATGAAAATGAGGAGCATATTTAGCAGCAAATCTCGGCTCGAACCTGGATCTTTTGAACTTTAGCCCTAGCATACTAGCAATTAGAATATGACTAGCTCGAAAAGACATTATAAAAAGCCTTACTCTCAGAATTCAATGACGGTTTCGTTCGGTTTGTGCTATTTAATGCTAGATTATAAAACTTGATCATTATTGACACTTTTTTTTATGACAATGCATACATTATGAAAATAATTTGTAGTTTAAGTTTCTGATTCATATTTATAGGGGTTGTTACATAATTATTCGCTATGTAAGTAAGTAAGCCCTTAAAAAGGATGCTTAACACTAATTAATTAAAACATTTATAATTAATTCATTAATAATTAAATCATCATAAAAAGGATGCTTAGCAATAATTCATTAAATCATTTATGATTAATTCTTCCTAAAAAGGACATTACATTTCATTATCATTAATTAGTCCTACAATAACAATACGATAATTAAAACTTACTCAACCAAGTGTTTAAAGATTTTTAGTGAAATAATAAATTATCAAAAACATTGTTTTCCGTACAATGATCACAACATACATTTTACCAAGCACACAATATATGACTATATGTTTAATTCGCCCTAATACGGGCAATATCATGCAATAATTAAAACTTATACTTTTTACAACAATTTACATCGTCAATAAAACGCTTATTATGCAATAACACTTTTACTAATTTGTGACAAAATAATTTATACGTCTTACTTTATCTCATGTATTAACAAAGACAGACTTTTACATACACTTAATTACTGTTATTACCATAAGAGTTTAATAAATATACTGTGACACCACTTCTACAAGTCATCAATTTCAGCCTTCCATAAGTTAGTTTGCGCTAACTGGTGACACTTTATTGAACTATGAGATCATGGCGGCCTAGCAACGCGTACCTAACGAAAGCGCTCGGGTTATAGGGTTTTTATTCAGTTCTATCAAAAATTTCTCTTGTTGTAACTTTTGGAACTATGACGTCTTCATCTTTGGTGACATCACCTCTCTCCTGAGGCAGTCAATCAGCGCTTGTGTCTCGAGTGCAATCAAATCATCATAAAAAGACGCTTAACACTAATTCATTATTTAATCAATTCGTCCATAAATGACTTATTTAATTAGTGACTAATTATATTCTTGTTGAGACATGTATTGTATAAGTCATGGCTGCCTAGAAACATCTTTCTACTTTGTGGTAGGATGATTTAATTATTAATGAAATAAGTAATGAATTAGCGTCCTTTTTTATGACGATTTAATCAACTAATGATTTACTTAACTATCGAATTGATGATTAATTATATTCTTGTTGAGACATGTATTGTATGAGTCATGGCCGCCTAGAAACATGTTCTCTACTTTGTGGTACTGTTACGTAATCATCCATTATGGCCGCCTGTCTGGTATCGAACTATAATTTCAGCCTTCAATAAGTTAGTTTGCGCTAACTGGTGACATTTTGTTGAACTATGAGATCATGGTCGTCTGTCATGGCGGCCTAGCAACGCGTACCTAACGAAAGCGCTCGGGTTATAGGGTTTTTATTCATTTCTATCAAGATTTCTTAAACCTACGTACTTTTCTAACATCACGAATATATATATATATATATCAGAAGAAATGTCACACTTTTATTAGGAAAAGTAGAAGGTAAAAATAATAAACGTAATAACAAAATTCCAATTCGATAAAAATTCATTTTTAACAAACAGTTGTTTTTCGAATATTTTTGCACATTATTTAAATATCATTTGATATCAGTATGTGTGTTCGTGATCTGACTAATACGCACACACACATTTATATTTACCATATTACTTTTACTGGTGATTGCTACAGCGTAAGATCTGTGGTGGAAATAGGAATTCTTCCTTGTATTTTTTTTCTTTTACTTCCGATAGTAGCGTCACTTTCAACTGCGATAAAGAACTTATCACATTTGATCTTGACTTTCTTGTTTCTCTTCTTCCCATGTTGTAGTCAACTGTGGCCTAACTACACATACTAATGACTGTGATGGCAGACTGACTTGCTGTTACGATGCTTACCGCAACAAAGAATACAAAACAATAAAAACTCGTCGCTGTTTTACGACGAACATTGTATCGTAAAAAAGCATCGTGAGCTTCATAACATGGCTTGTTTGTTTATTTTGAATTTCGCGCAAAGCTAGGGGACGGCTAGCGCAGATAGTCCTCGTGTAGCTTTGCGCGAAATACATAACAAACAATTTTTTTAAATAGCTGTGATAAACATAAATCTGAAAAAAAAATCATTATAAATTAAATTTGTTTCAACTTTTGTTGGCGCTTATCGCTTTTGTTGTGTCTTATAAAATAGAAACAATCTGACTGGTATAATTGTAACTTTAATAAACCAATTAAGCCTAATAAATAAACCTAATAAACCAATTAAGTACCACGAGACCAAGTTAATTTTGAGATTGCAGAATGTCAAAAGGGAATATCAAAATAAAGGCTTGAGCGCTAGGTAATGATTTTTATACATCTATTAAAATGTATTTATTAAACTGGTAAATCAAATCGTTCCAGAAGCAGAAAAAGTGTGATTATATATACGAGGTTATAAGTGGGATTTCTAGGAGTTAGCAATTTTAAAAGCGAAAGCACAGTCAAATAGCAAACAGAAATAAGTTAATGCTTCGATTCACCGGTGTCTGCTGTTTATGGAGAGTCAAGTGCATTGTTAATTGAAATTTAACAATCACTCATGAAAAGGTACACATTCATTCGCAAGAGTATGATAATGATCCCCTATAGTTCTTAGGTTAAGCACCAGAGAATCTAAGATAATTTTTTTATAATAATGCTAAACCTTGTCAGATTTTTTCAGTACTTTCTTCACTTAAGCACCACCCCCCTCCAATGGTATGTCTGCGGACTTATACTGCTAGAAACCAGGTTTCGATACCCATGGTGGGCAGAGCCCTTTGTGCTTAATAACAAAGAAACAAATCTTCACCGATAGGCCTGGTGGTTAGGGCACTTGAGACGTGATGCCTAAACTCGTAACTGAACATGCTCACCCTTTCAGCTATGGGACCGTTATAACATTACGATCAATACCACTATTGATTGATAAAGAGAAGCCCAAGAATTGTTTGCCCTCCCTCTAGCCTGTCACCTCAAAATCAGGGACAGCTAGCGCAAATAGCCCTCGAGTAATTTTGCATGAAATTCTACAGCCAAACAAATAATCTTTAATTTCATGCTCTGTTCATTTAAAGATCTTTTGGATGGAGTGCGAATAACTATATGAGAGTAATTGAATTGCAAGAGAAAGCACACAATTGTATTTTATATCATTAACTTTCGACACATCTATTTTTTGGTTATTGAATTGTTGAATAATGAATATTATATTCAGATTATACGTCGAGATTATAAACAAAAGCATTTAAGAAAAAATAATTGTGATCCACTCTTGCAAACAAATGTCAATGTGGGACAGTGTCTGAAATATAAGACAGATCTGTTAGTTTATGTTTAGCTCAGAAACACTTCAGAGGAATAAGTGATACTAACCATTCCCAACACTAAGCCTTTTTTTTCATTAATTTGCACCATTCTATAACAAATGTAGCTTCTTAATCGATTGAATACAGCAACGGCTTAAAACTTTAAGTTATAAACAATGGCTAATAAAATATCTTAAAATACAGTGAAAAATGTTATTCCACGATTTCAACAGCAAACGTTTTACCTATACCTATACTGTTTAGCATTTGTAAGAGACAATTTAATATGATCTACACATTGTTATTTATGAGGGTATATATTTTCGTTTCCTAATATAATACGCACATTGTTATTTATGAGGGTATATATATTTTCGTTTCCTAATATAATACGCACATTGTTATTTATGAGGGTATATATATTATCATTTGTTAATATAATCAATACTTTTCTGTCGTGATCTATCATTTAATTGACAATTTAACCTATATTTTGTGTTAATGACCTATAAAAATTTAAATATGATACCTTTATCCTTGCTTTCGTATACATTATTATTCTTACACTTGATACATTATTTTATATGATACCATAGTATATATTTTTATGATATATATTTCAAGTGATTTTATTTTCGTAACCATTACTTCAAAATACATTATATTTGACCATATAGCTATCAATGAAATACACTTCTTTAATAGAAATACATTATATTTGACCATATAGCTATCAATGAAATACACTTCTTTAATAGAAATACATTATATTTGACCATATAGCTATCAATGAAATACACTTCTTTAATAGAAATATTTCTATTGTTTTCTAAAAACGTTGAACTGTCTTCATTTAAACGAATTTTAATTCGCTATTGTAAAAAGGTACGACCATGGCTTCAAATAGACTGAGCTTTGAAACTCATGTTATTTAATGTACCTATTAACCCTAAGAAGCTCTATGGAAACATTTTTGTGCTTTCTAAAGGTTCGTGTAAAGAAAGATTTGGTCAAAGAAAGGATGTTCCGGCAGGATGTAGAAATACGTCTCAAAGAGGCCGAGTCAGAGAGGAGGATCTGTAGAGTTAATCTCATCAAACTTCAGCGAGACTTACAAAGGTATCATTGTTTGTAAAATGTCCTTTTTATTATAGTTACCAGGGTTTATCACTTATACAATTATTGCGTAAGGTTTTCTTCTAAATTCATATACTAAATAAAGTTCGTGAGCTTTCTGATTTTTGTTATCCAAATCTTTACAATACAATTTTGTCTCCCGGTGGGACAGAAGTAAGTTTAGGGGCTAACAACGCTAAAATTCGAGGTTAGACAATAACTCAGTGTAGTTTTTCTATACAAGAAATAAACAAAACATTATAACCAGTATAACAACCGGTTCTCGCAAAACAGTACAAGCAAAATAAAGCATGCTACAACCAGTTCTTGAAAAGTAATATTTTTTTGTTTTAATTATAGCGTAGCGTCTATTCAACTAATTTATAAAGAATATATATTTTACAACCTTTTAACGATGACTTGATTATAAAATGTTGTTGAGAAAATGTAAATCACTTGCCTAAAACAATTCACAAATATAATGATGTTAATCGTTTGCTGAAAAAAACATTTTTGGTCATTTATTGCTAAATATTGTAAGAACTGACCATGAGAATAATATAAAAAATAACATTTTTTAATACAAATGAATCTCGGCGAAAAGTACATATGTAGAATCAATCGCACTTTTAAGAACGAAGTGAATATTCTAATTAATACAATGCCATGGTCCTACAATAGGCATGTTTAGTACAAATATATTTGGTTCAGGGTGAATTTCCGATCATTTAGCAATGCAATGTTGCCTAGGATACGGTCATGGCCGGAGTGTTATATATTAAAACCTTTGGTTTTATTGATGTATTTGTTGTTAAACACGAAGCTACACAACTGGGCTAATTCATGATTACGAGGAACCCACTTGAATTAAATAAATAAATAAATATATAGCTGAGACGACTGACTTGCGACGCTAACAATTGGGTTTTTGATACCTGTGGTGGTCAGAGCACAGATTAGTCCATTGTGTATATATATAATAAAGACAGCTGATATGAGTATTAAATTTTTCAAAATTTAAAACACAAAACAAGTAACACTGTTTCGACCTCTTTAGGTCATCATCAGGTTAAGAATAACATTTGAAAAAGTAACTGTAATTGATCACGTGCCGTGAGGACGACAGAAACTATAGTGATAATACTGTAGGGGGCGTTGCATATATTTAATGTATTATATGTGGTAGTTAATATTTAAGGAAATGAGGTTTTCTCTTCTTCCAGTTACATCAATGAAGCTTCCCTTACACCATTTAACAATCTCGCTCAAGAAAAATCTTCTTCTGAAAGGCTTTAATGCCCCCTGTGGTTTTAATGCCCTAAGTATGGAGACTTAGGACGCTAAAACCAGGGTTTTCTATACCTGCGGTGGGCAGAGCACAGATAGTCCAAGTTAAAACCGCGTAAGTCTCTTAAACTACAGTGCCTTGCAAAATTGTTCACCCCCCCTGCAAAGTTTCCTCATTTTGTTGCCGTCTGAGTTTGCAATCATGAAACTTTCAAATGGGACTTTATATTTAAAATCTACACAATCTACTCCAAATGAGAAAGCTAGAAACCGCTGATATTATATAAGTAAGTTAGATTTACAAACAACATTAGAAAATTTTCAATTGCATAAGTATTCAACCCCTTTGCTACGGCAACCATAAATCAGTTCAGGTGCAAACGATTAATTTGAAAGGTCAAAAAATTAGTGGAATGGTTTCTGCCTGTGTGTAATCAATGTGGTTTAACTTGACTTCAGACTTCTGTTCAAGCCACAACTCACATAGTGATACGACAAACCAACGATGAAGTCCAAGGAACTTTCGAAACAAGTCAGGGATAAAGTGGTAGAAAAGCACAGATCAAGAGAAGGTTACAAGGAAATTTCGAAATCGCTGATTATCCATTTGAGGGCGGTGAAGTACATCATTAAAAGATGGAATGTGCTTCCTACCACTAAGTCGCTACCCAGATCAGGCTGCCCTTCTAAACTAAGCAGCCGTAAAAGCAGGAAACTGGTTAGGGATGCCACTTTGAAGCCAACAGTGACTTTAAAAGGTTTGCAAAGTTCCATGTCTGAGATGGGAGTCAGTGTTCATACATCTACAATATCCCGGTCCCTACACAAAGCTGAATTGTATGAGCGAATGACAAGAAAAAAGGCATTACTGAAAAAGTATTATCTTAAATTTCGTATGGAGTTTGCGACATGTGGCAGAAGGTTTGTATGGTCAGACGAGACAAAATTTAGCTCTTTGGTCTAGATTCAAAACGTTATGTCTGGCGCAAGCCCAACACAGCACATCACCCAGTCAAAAATATCCCAACTGTTGAGCATAGTGGTGGCAGAATCATGTTATGGGGCTGCTTCTCATCTGATGGACTGGGAAACTGGTCAGCATTGAGGTGAAGATGGATGGTGCAAAGTACAGGCGAATTCTAGAGGAAAGCCTGCTTGAATCAGTAAAGTAAAACTTATTGTCACGAAAGAGGACTGTCCATCCCCCCCAAAAATATATAACTATCATTACGATAAAGCTGGGCATTTGTTTTCAGAACGTTAACACGATTATAGACAATGATTTTAAAACTGAGAAAGGCTCATAAACCAAAATTTCACAAGCTTTCAGTGAAAAATAATTTCACGAAAAAGCTGGTAAAAGAAACTGGAATTAGAGAAGTTTCATTTAACCACATACTTTTCATATCCTCTGATGCATCTCAATGGCTGTTTACACGAACAATTAGAAGCCGACTTTCTCGTACTGTGAGGAGACTGTGGAAAAGTTGTCAAGAATATAGGCTAAGATTGACTTCCCAGAAGCTTGTTATGTTAGAAATTGCGGTGTCAAGCAACAGTGTGCAATCGTGGCCATTAGATTAAGCACCATCGATGATAGGTGAAGTAGTTCCAAGGGCGGAACGTGACGTATAATATCATTCTAATAAAATGTGATTAATTTTAATATAGCGCTAAAATTTCACACACACATATGTATATTGTTACTTGGATAATGTTAAGTAGTTTCTTTGAAGTGTTTACTTCACTTTCCTGCGTTGCGATATTTTCTTTTAATCTTAAGTAGGCTCGTGTATTACTGTTACTTGGATAATGTTAAGTAGTTTCTTTGAAGTTTTTACTTCACTTTCCTGCGTTGCGTTATTTTCTTTTAACCTTAAGTAGGCTCGTATATTACTGTTACTTGGATAATGTTAAGTAGTTTATTTGAAGTTTTTACTTCACTTTCCTGCGTTGCGATATTTTCTTTTAACCTTAAGTAGGCTCGTATATTACTGTTACTTGGATAATGTTAAGTAGTTTCTTTGAAGTTTTTACTTCACTTTCCTGCGTTGCGATATTTTCTTTTAACCTTAAGTAGGCTCGTGTATTAAAGTATTACAAAACAAAATTTTGTAGACAGCTTAAAAAGACAAAATTGTTGTGTTAGGACTTATTCATATCTATGTTTCTTTTTCACTCAATCCATACATTCACAAACAGGTAAACACAAATCCTATCTACAGCACATTGAAAGTAATTCTACGAAGGAGTACAGTAAAAATTGTTAAATTGTTTAACATAATATGCATCTAAGAAAGATTACTGAGCAGTGATGCACCTTTAAATCCCTTACTTAAAGGGGCAGGGTTAACTCAGTGATTAGTGTGCAGGGCTGCAGAACAATAGGTCCAAGGCTCATGCCGCTGTGCCGTTGAAAACCCTGCTCACTTTTAGCTTTGGGTATGTTATAAGAGTGTTATTTGGTTTAATGAGTTGAACAACGCTATTGTGGTAGTAGTTGCTGCTGACTACCTTCCTACCGCTCAGTAGTTTTAGGAATATTTAACCAGGCTATTTAGTTCACGTGTTGCATAAGGTGCTGCTAGAGTCGAAATATTAATATTATCACTTAAATATAATAGATTAGAATATTTATTATCGTTTATTATCCGCTTTAGTTCCTTCTATTTAATGTTTACCCAAAAAGTTATTATGCTAAATATGACTGTAGGTAGATACATACATTTCTTTACCACGTGTCCATGACTGAAAGTGCTACAACTATGCTATATTTTTTGCCCAGTTCTAGGTATAACACATAATAACGTGTGGCATATTATGCATACGACTGTGTATGTCAATGTCAATACACTTGTGTACTGCCAAATTTCACCAATAATTTCCTATTTTAGTTCCATGTTATATTGTTGCGTTTTAGCGTGATATTTTTGTTTAACTTGAAGTTTTTAGTGATTATATTTCAATGAAAAACGCTATATCTAATTAAAAATTGATACTGTTTAAGTTAGCCCTGCAACTCTTGAATATATGAGCATTTGTTTGAAAAAATAGAACGTTCATCTTGCGTCGTATTTCTACTAAACGACTCTGGCAGTGGCAAATATTCTCTTTATGTACGCTAAGACTAGTTGTATATATAAGACACAACGATTTGTAAGCATAATAAAATATTCTAAATACCTACTACATGTCGTTGTGTCTTATATATACAAGTCTCTCAATGTATTTTTGTCCATTTGCGTAAGATATAGTGGTTAGCATTTCAGGCTGCGGGTCGTAAAGTTTAAAGGTCGCACCGCGATGTCACTAAATATTATCCCATGCTCCGCACTTTCATCTTTGGGTGCGATATAATATTCGCAGTCAATCATATCATTCTGTGTTACTCTGGTTAATAATTCAAAATTAGGTACTGCTGTACGTGAACCCTAAGGGATTTTGACGTGTCCGTTTTGCACATGAACGTATAAAACGTCACGCACGTCAAAAATACTGAGTTATAGCCACCCCCCCTAAATTATTTTGACCTGGAATAATTATATTTGTGTCAATAAAAAAGTTAAAATATATCGATATATCGAGGGTAAAACTGTAATGTATATTTACGTGTTTCAGTTTTATTTTTTCACTACAGGATGGAAGACATGGTGAAAAGCATGTTACATTTTAAGTCGCAGTTAGACCAGTTAAGACACGAGAAGACAACTTTATCTGTCAAGTACGAGGTAAGAAATTTTACATTCAAAAACCTTTATTTATTACAGTTTTTCATTCGTCAGTGCTTTCTGGGTATTAATAGATGATTTGTATCAAGAAAAACTAGAATATTTTTGATATATTATATATATATGTATATAAATTCCTTAAATAAAGGGAGTTTCTTATTTCAAAATGTGACTGTTTCTCTTATTTCTGCCTGTGAATTGTTATCTCGAGTAAAGAAAACTTTGTGATTGGTGGAGATGTCGGTAAAGTTGCTGCAATATCTTGTATTATATGTTTTTTTTATTAAGTCTCCCTCTTGCTTGTTCTCGGGTGTGTACTTTCAGCTTACTTTTACAGTTTGCTGTTTTTTCTTAAACTAAGTTTTTTTCCGTGATTACCTGAAGTTGAAGGATAATTCAGAATATCATACTTTAGAGAAATAAACATGTTGTTGGGTAATTACTTAATGCTAAAAATATATATATTCTATACGATAATTAACTCCTTTAACAAATCAGTTTTGATTTTAAAGAAAGCCTTTGAGCTTCTGAAAACACAGTGTCCTACGGAAAATATTTACATTTTTCACCAGTTGTAAAACATTTTCTATATGAATATGTAAACCATTTTACATGAACATGTAAAGCATTCTACTTGAAAATGTTAATGATTCTATAAAAGCATATAAAACTTTCTCTACATGAACATGTAAAGCATTCTACTTGAAAATGTTAATCATTCTATAAAAGCATATAAAACTTTCTCTACATGAACATATAAAACATTCCTTACTTGAATATGCCCCCC